GACACAGCCGCGGAGGAAGGCCCGCGGGAGGCGGCGGCGCGGCGGCCGCCGGGCCAGTGCTCGGTGCTGCTCTTCCCGGGCCAGGGCAGCCAGGTGGTGGGCATGGGCCGGGGGCTGCTCCGCTACCCGCGCGTCCGCGAGCTCTACGCCGCCGCCCGCAGCGTGCTGGGCTACGACCTGCTGGAGCTGAGCCTGCACGGGCCGCAGGAGGCCCTGGACCGCACCGCGCACTGCCAGCCCGCCGTCTTCGTGGCTTCGCTGGCCGCCGTGGAGAAGCTGCATCACCTGCAGCCCGCGGTGAGGCCCGACGCCCCGCGGCCCGCCGGGGAGGATGGGCTGTGCCCGGGCTCCCACCCGCCAGGCCCGAGTGCTCCCACGTTGACGCATTGGGCAGAGTCTTCCCGAGTTCCCACTGTTGTAGGCGCTGGGGCCGTGGCCCTAGGCAAGCCTGCATGTAGGGGAGAGGGATGATGAAGAAGAAATACGCTGTGTAAATGACACAGTATGATAAATACGGTGTTACAGAAAGGAGAACAGAGCAGGGAAGGGGCTGAGGAGTCGGCTGGACTGCGATTTTATTTTATTTATTTTTAAAAGGTTATTATTATTTTTACTATTCTTTACACCCAACATGGGGCTCAAACTCACGACCCCCAGATCAAGAGTCGCATGTTCCACCTACTGAGCCTGGGCTGCGATTTTTAAATTTTTATTTATTTTCTTGTGTGTGTGTGTGTGTGTGTTTCTTTTACTTTTTTTTAATTTAAATTCAATTAATTAACATATAGTGTATTATTAGTTTCTGAGAGTTCAGTGATTCAACAGTTATATATAACACCCTGTTCTCATCCCATCACATGCTCTCCTTAATGCCCCTCAACGATTTTAAATGATACTCAGTCATTTGTTAGTTACTAAATGATTTTAAAAGGATTGAACTTCGACCTTAAATGAGGGATCATTAAGAAGATGATGTGTGAGAATGTCACTTCACTTGAAGGTGTGAATTGATTCTTGTTAACATTTGATAATATCAAAACAGTAAGTGTGAAGCTACTGCTTTGAACCCTGTACTCCATTCTCACAACAACCTCGTGAGGTAAATACAGTTACTTTGTGGAGGAGGCAAGGAGACTCGGACACATAACGGAATTAGTGAAGTGGTAGTTGTAACACTCATGGAGCCCTTACCCTCGGCCAGGTCTGTGCTTAACCACTTTAGAGACATTATCTTGGTGTCGTCTCAGTAACCCTGTGAGGTAGGTCCTGCCCTTACCCCATCCCACAGATGGGACAACCAAGGCTCGGGAGAAGTTAGGGAACTCTCCTAGGCTAAGAATCCAATCCAGCCCTCTGTGACTGAGTCACTCTCTTCTCTGCGTAGCTCCCTCCGTCTCCCTTGGCCTAAGGCATCTCCAGGGCAGAGAGGCAGGAGGATCCAGAGCCCTGGGTTGGAGTCACAGCTTCACCAGAGTCAGCCAGCAGGCTTTAACTTGTCTTGCCAGGGAAGTTCCTCATCAGTAAAAGGGCTGGTTCAGGGCTTGTCAAGGCCACGTCTGTGTGTACTCTTCTAGCCAGAGCATCAGGCCAGTGGCTCCTGATTCCTTGAGCCTCTGAACACCCTGCCGGCTCTCAGTGCAGAGCCCTGGACTGAACCCCTCCTGAGACCTCAGCCTCATGTCCCGCATCTGTCACCACAGGTTATTGAGAACTGTGTTGCTGCTGCCGGATTCAGTGTGGGAGAATTTGCAGCCCTAGTGTTTGCTGGAGCCATGGAATTTTCTGAAGGTACACAGGAAGGGGTTTGGTTTTGTGCCGGGGTGTTCTCTTGCTGGGCTCACTGGGGATCAAGGACACTGCCAAAAATAATTCTGGAGCCACTCGTGTGATAAGGAAGCACATGGATGAGAATGACATTGGGACCCAAGGACCAGATTTCACCTTGATTCCCTTTTAATCCTGAAGGGTTCATTGGGGATTTTCTTTCTTTTTTGTAATCTCCTGAGCTCTGTTTGCTTGACTGTCCCCCACGCTGTCCTGGGTGCTCTCAGTCCACTCCCACACCACCAGTGCCTGTCACGTGATAGATGGCCAATAGATAGTCGTGGAATGAAAAGGAGTAAATGTTCGATCTTGAGCATATCAGTTTCACTTAAGATTTTTGCTCATAGTGAAACCCATTAAACTTTTGTTTATAGTTAAATATGGGCAAAGGATGTGAACAGACCTTTCTCTAAAGAAGATAAATAGAGGGGCGCCTGGGTGGCTCAGTCGTTAAGCGTCTGCCTTCGGCTCGGGTCGTGATCCCAGGGTCCTGGGATCGGGCCCTGCGTCGGGCTCCCCGCTCAGCGGGAGGCTTGCTTCTCCCTCTCCCACTCCTCCTGCTTGTGTTCCCTCTCTCGCTGTGTCTCTCTCTGTCAAATAAATAAATAAAATCTTTAAAAAAAAAAGATAAATAGAAACGGCCAACAGGCAGGTGAAAAGATGTTCAACATCACTGATCATTAAGGACGTGCAAATCAAAACCACACTGAGATACCACCTTATACCTACTAGGATGATTTCAATTAAAAAATATATAATAAAATAATAAAATTTTGAAAATTAAAAATAATAAGTGTTGGCAAGAATGTGAACGAATAGGACCCTCAGACATGGCTGGTGAGAAATGTAAAATGGTGCAGCTGTGGAAACCAGTTTGACAGTTCCTCAAGACATTATGCATAGAATTACCGTATGGCCCAGTGGTTCTGCCTGTAGGTATATACCTAAGAAATGACAACCTATGTCCACGCAGAACAACCTGTACACAAATGTTCATAATAGCATTATTCAGAATAGCCCAAAGATGGAAACAATCTAGATGTCTCTCATCAGATGAGTGGATAAACAAATTGCACTCTGTCCATGCAATGGAATATTCTTCAGCCATAACAAGGGAGAAAGTGCTGATACATGCTACAACATGGATGAGCCTCAAAAGCATGCTCATTGAAAGAAGCGATCCCTTTTATGTGAAATGTCCAGAATATGCAAATCCACAGAGACAACAGATTAGAGATTATGGGGGCAGAGGCCAGAGGAAAGGAGAAATGGGGAGTGATTACTTGGCAGATACGGGGTATTTTATGGAGGGATAGAAAGTTTTGAAACTAGAGCGAGCTGGTGGTTGCACAACATACCACTGAACTAAACACTTGAAACTCGTTATGTGACTTTTACTTCAGTGTTTTAAGAAACAGCATTATAGCACAGTTAAGGAAACGATAAAAAATGTTGCATATTCACACCTTCTAATAAGACTTTTATTTTTTATTTTTATTTTTATTTTTTTTTAAGATTTTATTTATTTGAGAGAGAGAATGAGAGAGAAAGAACACATGAGAGGGAATAGGGTCAGAGGGCGAAGCAGACTCCCTGCCAAGCAGGGAGCCCGATGCGGGACTCGATCCCGGGACTCCAGGATCATGACCTGAGCCGAAGGCAGTCACTTAACCAACTGAGCCACCCAGGCGCCCCAAGACTTTTATTTTTTTTTTTAAGATTTTATTTATTTATTTGTCAGAGAGAGACATGGTGAGAGAGGGAACACAAGCAGGGGGAGTGGGAGAGGGAAAAGCAGGCCTCCCGCCGAGCAGGGAGCCCGATGCAGGGCTCGATCCCAGGATCCTGGGATCATGACCTGAACCAAAGACAGACACCTAACAACTGAGCCACCCAGGCACCCCTAATAAAACTATTTTATACACACATAGGTTTTCTGTGCACATAATTTGCAGAGTTATGGCCTATGTATATCCTGTGTTTTTTCACTTGACGTTTTGCATAGTTCTTTAATACCTGCGTGGGAGGACTTCCACATGCCCTCTCCACTTTCCTGTGGGTTCTTTGCTACTTGCTACCTCAGGCTCTCATTGTATTTGCTCCACAGTCTGCTCCCTACCTGTGTAAGGGGCCAACAGTCCAGTACAGACGTATGTAGGTGCTGAGGGAAGGAAGATGTGCTAGGAAGGGTGCAGGGTGTGCTCCTCAGACCCTCTCTGTGGTTCCAGGAAACCCTGGACTAGTCCCTTAACCTCTCCTTGGTCCAGTCATCCCCTCCCCCAGGGAGCAGACCCAGGACCAGGGTGACGGATGTCCAGTCGTCACAGGCCGTTCTTACATCATGATCACGGGCTGCCTGCCTGTCCTCTCACCTTGAACTTGAGCCGCCCTCAACCAGGAGCTTCATTTGTCTTGGCAGTGTCAGCTTCTCCAGCTCCAAGTGAGGGCACTAAACTTGATTTATGAGAATCCTGTTATTGAAATTCTGATGCGCAGTTGTCGCAACAATCCAGGCAGATGAGATAGTATTATCCTCATTTTACTAACTGAAAATTTGAACCTGAAAGGTCATGACTTGCCCCAAACAGTGTATGTAGCTCCAAGTCTGCTCCTTTGCACTTGCTCCCTGCACCAGGGTTTCTCACCAGCAGCACTGTGGACGTTTTGGACCAGATAACAACTTGATTTGGGTGGGGCCGTGCATTGTAGGAGGTGGAGCAGGATCCCTGACTTCTGCCCACCAGATGCCAGTAACATGCGCGCGTACGCCCCCCACGCGCACACTCCACTGTTGTGACAATCACAAGTGTCCCCAGACCCTGCCCCAAGGCAAAATCACCCCTGGTTAAGAACTGCATCCTACAGCAAGCCAGCTTTAAGGCTGGGAGCTCCGTGGTTTCGTTTGTATGGTGCCAAGGACAGCACCCACCTCTCTCCTGATGGTGGTGCCATCTCTGTGTAGCAGATAGAGATACGAAGAACTGTGGCCTTGGGGACTGCTGCTAACTACCCGTATCAGCGTCTCCAACATGCTGGGTGAACTTGCGCTTTGTCTCACAGGTCTGGGCTTCCCCCCTTCATCACGTGCCCTGATCGTTCCAAATGCGCTTCTCTTTGGATAGGTTTGTATGCGGTGAAAGTCCGAGCAGAGGCCATGCAGGAAGCCTCGGAAGCTGTCCCCAGCGGGATGTTGTCTGTCCTCGGCCAGCCTCAGTCCAAGTTCACCTTCGCCTGTTTAGAAGCCCGGGAACACTGCAAGACTTTGGGCATAGAGAACCCCGTGTGTGAGGTGGCCAACTACCTCTTTCCTGATTGCAGGGTGATCTCAGGACACCTGGAGGTTGGTACTGATGGGAACAGCCTTCCTAGACCCCAGCCCATACAGAAGGTTAGAATTGTCCCACCCACACTAGGGAGGCCCACGATGGTGTGATGGGTGCTCTGCCAAGCCATGGTCTCTGGGAAGTATTTGAGGGCAAGCGGGGGGGCAGGGTGACAGGGCAGCAGGCGGGAGGTGGCGTGAGCACTGCAGAGGGAGGCAAGAGGCTGGGATGCTGTCCCCACTCCACCATGCATAGACGAGGACCTTGAGCAAATCACCTAGCCCACCTAGGTAAAGGGGTTGGACCAGATGATCCCCAGAGCCTTCCTGTAGTAAACTCTGGGGTTCTCACCTCTGATCTGGTTGCTTCCTTAGCGAGAGGAGAAGCCATTCCTGCTAGGTTACTCCACCCCACTGTGCCTTTTAGGTATCTGTTTTTACCCCAAGTTCATTTTCTTTCCTTCTGTCCTTCCTTCCATTCACTGCTTCCCTAGACATTTCTCAAGCAGCTCCTCTGTAACAAGGACTGAGGGTAGGTACCTGGACTGATAAGCCGGGAACGGGTGACTGCGGGTTTGGGGCACAGTAAGGGTCAGGCTGGCTGTCAGGAGGCCTGAGGAGGTGACACCAGGAGCGGTGCGTGGGGGGTACATTTGCCGGGAAGAGGGTGTCCCCAGCAGGGAGGCAGCGAGCAGCCGATGGCAAAGTGCAGCTGGGCACCGAGGGCCTGGCCCCGGGTTGCTGAGTCCACGCCGGATCCCACACAGGGGCTGCAGCTGCAGGGCCCGTGTCTACACAACTCATGTCGTGTAGGCCTTGCAGCCAGCCTGTGTTCCCCAGAAGGGAGTCCTCCGCTTGCTTAACACACGAGGAAGCTGAGGCAGAGGGAGAGGCCAGTGCTTAGGGATGGTGGAGGCAGAACGGAGCGCCAGTCTGTCTCATTCTGGAACCTTCTTCCTCCACTTGACTGCGCTCAGTCTGCCATCCCCCAAGAGGCCTTGACGGTATGCCAGGAGTCTGTGAATCTCCTCGGAACCAGCGAGAGTCTCTCCTGTGACAGTTCTGAGGGCATAGGATGGGTGACAGTGGCCCCACGTGGATCGTGGAACTGGTTGCTCGTTCCCATTAACAGCCTTGGAACGGCCCCGAAGTGGGTGGGGAGGGGCCCCAAACCAGGGCTGGCGTCTCCTTGCGCAGCTCCCAGACAGTTGGGTACGTGGGCTGACGACTCCTCGGATTCCCGGCGTTAGCCTTTTGGTGCCAAAGGAAAGAGCTCAGGTGAGGGCAGGGCTTTCCTGAGCAGGCGAGTCCGTTTGCAACCACTGATGGACAAAAACCCCTTGGCCTCTGCCTCAAGGCGGGCCCTGAGGCTGTGGCCTTGACTCCTGTGGCCCCAGCCTGGGACGCGAGCTGGATGAGTCCAGAGGCCTTACGTGGAAAGCACTGTGAGATGCTGAAATGAGTAGCCATCCGTGCAGACGCCACTGACCGGACAGCCCAGCCTCGGCGGGAAGGGTCCAGAAGGCCGGTGTGCAGGGGGGCTCCTGGGTGCCCCTCAGTGAGATGGGGCTGGAGGACAGTGGCTCCAGGACAGGCTGGACCCTGCTGCAGTGACAGGCAGCCGGGCCCCTCAGTGCTTCCCACAGCTGGGGTCCCACTTCCGTCACAGTTTGCTTCGCTGTGCTGAGCTCGGCTGCACTTGGCTCTCGCCAGCGCTCAGGCCGCTGCAGCAGCCTGTGTGGGACGCCGGCAGACTCCCAGCCCAGGACGGATGGTGGCAGGATGGTGGCAGGCCAGAGACGGGGCCGGAGAGACCGGTGACAGTTTAGCACACAGGAAGCCCTTCGGCAGAGCCCAGGGGAGGACCATCAGGGTGGCAGGCCCCGGGCTGTGTCCTGAGGCCTAGGGTCTCTTAAGAATATCTACTGTTGGGCGCCTGGGTGGCTCAGTTGGTTGAGCGACTGCCTTCGGCTCGGGTCGTGATCCTGGAGTCCTGGGATCGAGT